TTCAATCACGCGTTAGTTGCCGACACAAGTGAAAGAATAGTACCTCTACAGGTATTAAGGGACCTCCTATAACTGTCCACCTTCACCTTCCATAGCGAGGCAGACATACAGAACCTTTCTTCATCTCCGAGAATGCCTTCCCAACGAAGCCTCTCGAGTCACTTAGTGTTCCTTATTCCTTGGGGTACCTCTGTAAGCCAATAACTTCAAAGCAAAAGTATCTCATATCACCAGGGTAGAAAGCAAGAGTATCTCATATCATGCGTTCTCCCTGTCGTTTCCTTTGTCCTTGCTCCTACCTACAAAGACAAGGATAAAGAAAACAATATGCCGGAACTTCCACTCAAACTCGGGTAAGGAACCGACTGCTTGGAACCCTTCCCTGATTGCCTGCCTAGCACTGCTCTCGAGTACTCGTCTCCCACTGCTGCTGTACTTCCATAGAAGCTGTCACATCTGCCTGGAGAACAGATAAGGCAAGTGAAAATGATACCTTGCAGCATGTGGAGACAACGTGCTGAAGAAACAAGCAGAGAAGAATGCGGCCTGCACAGTCAACTCAGCAGAAGGAGTCCGAGCTGAAGAACTCGAGAAGATGCCACATCTGCCTGGAGAACAAATAAGGAAATGCGGCATGCACAATCAACTCAGCAGAAGGAGTCTGAACTGAGAAACTCGAGCACATGCCACATTCTGCCAGAAGAATAGATAAGGCAAGGGAAATGATACATTGAAGCATGTGGAGACAAGCATAAAGCACGTGCCGATTCATCCGCTACTTCTTCAAAATCAAAAGTATCTCATATCATCAAAGTTGCAATCACTCTGTGTGAAGGACTCGTTTTGACCCTCAAATTCTTGGGTCGACTTACTAGGCGTTGTGAGCTGCACGTGTCGATTCACCACCCTTGAATCGAATCCTTAAAGATCAAGTCACCGACTGGAAGAAAAGCCCATCAATCTTGAAGATCATACCGTTGACCAAACTGCTCAGGTGTGAATTAGAAAGATTGAACAAAGAAACAGGTTGTCACCTTTACCTCGTGCCTGCTTGCCATGTGTTCGAGTCAACCTTCAAGAATCAAGCCTCAACGGCCCTTGAAGAAGTTTCCAGCCAAATTCAAGATCAAGCCTCGACGGCCCTTGAGGAAATCACAAGTCCGATTCAAGACTAAGTGTCTACCACCCTTGAATCAAAACCTAGTTCCAGAATAAGCTGTGGAAAATCAACAATTGGAGGAATCTAGAAAAAAAACCTCCAACCCAGTTCAAGATCAAAGCTGTGGAAGGTCAACAAGCGCAACAAAATACGTGCCGATTCGTCCACTACCAAAGCAAAAAATCATCTACCACATGAAGCTCCTTGTGGTCCAATTTCAACCTTCAAGATCAAGTCTCGACGGCCCTTGAAGAAATTTCAAACAAAAGTTCAAGAACAAGCCTCAACGGCCCTTGAAAAAATCTCAAGCCCAATTCAAGATCAAGCCTCAACGGCCCTTGAAGAAATCTCCAGCCCAATTCAAGATCAAGCCTCGACGGCCCTTGGATCGACATCTACAGTAAGGGACTTCAAAACGCATCTCCTACACGTGACAAGCACATGTATACGACGTGCCTTGAAGTGGGGGCATTTGTAGACATCGAAATTTCGGTAAATAAATGTTGACCGATAAATCAAAGTGTCAACGCTCATGTATTACATAAATTTTACATGTAGCATGTGACTCAACGAAAATTGAAATGAGTTGGAAAAGTCATCAAATAGGACACGTGTCAATACCTGGCAGAAACGACTTATTTCATCTGGAATATTATATTCAAAATTAGGCCTTGGAAAATTCTATAAATACAAGCCCAATTTCATTCATTTGGGAACCAATTGATATTACACCTTGAAGCTCTGAAGCTCTGAAGCTCTGAAACTCCGAAGCTCTCAAGCATCCAGGTTCCCGAAGAATCAAGAAAGTGTTCTTCGTTCTTCGTTCATCGTTCTTCCAAGATCAAGACTCGACGGCCCTTGGATCAACAATCATCCACCTTCAAGATCAAGCCCCGACGGCCCTTGAAGAAAGCGTTCTTCGTTCTTCGTTCATTGTTCTTCCAAGATCAAGCCTCGACGGCCCTTGGATCAACAATCATCCACCTTCAAGATCAAGCCCCGACGGCCCTTGAAGAAAGCGTTCTTCGTTCTTCGTTCATCGTTCTTCCAAGATCAAGCCCCAACGGCCCTTTGGATCAACAATCATCCACCAATTCAAGATCAAGCCCCGACGGCCCTTGAAGAAAGCACCATCGTTCATCATCCGTTCATCCAAGATCAAGCCCCAACGGCCCTTTGGATCAACAACGTCGACAAAATCCACACATCCAACCGTTCTTCAAGATCAAGCCCAAAAGCCCTTGAAGATCCGTTCATCACTGTTCTTCAAGATCAAGCCCAAAAGCCCTTGGAGATCCGTTCATCACTGTTCTTCAAAGATCAAGCCCAAAAGCCCTTGAAGATCCGCTCAAATCCACCTTCAAAGATCAAGCCCACGGCCCTTTGAAGAAACTTCCAACTGTTCATCCAAGATTAAGCCTCGACGGCCCTTGGATCAACGAAACACCCACCAATCAACACCTTACGGAGATCGAATCAGAGGATCAAATTTGAGAGAGATTGTAACCCAAAATCATCAAATACTTAATATTTGTTTGTGCGCGTCGTTTCTTGTCTCTTTCGTTTCAGGAATTTTCCGTGTTCACAATTACACGATTCACATTTTTAGACACAAATGTATTAAATGTTTGCAGTTAAGAGTTTAAGATTGAGAGAGAAGAACAATAAAACTTGATTGACGAGTATAATAAATTCAACGCCAATTGTTTCTCTTGTGTTTTTTTTCTTCTTCTAAAATCAACATCAAACTAACGAATTAAATATTAAAATAATTCATTAAATAAAAAATTAATGAAAAAATATATATAAATTCAAAGTTTTAATTACCTTAAAGTACAATCTTTAAGACCATATGATAATTGGTTTAAACATTCAATAGAAATGGAGAGAATGAGAAGTTGGTTTAAACATTCGATATAAATGGAGAGAATGAGAAGTTGAAAGAAAAAGATTACAAGGAGACTTGAGTTTTATAACTTTATATGCATTTGGACAGATGGATTGTGTAACATCCCACATCGCCTATGGGAGTGGATCTTGTAAGCCTTATATGTATATTCCCACATCTTCCTAGCACGAGGCCTTTTGGGAGCTCACTGGCTTCGGGTTCCATTGGAACTCCGAAGTTAAGTAAGTTCGCGCGAGAGCAATCCCATGATGGGTGACTCACTGGGAAGTTCTTGTGTGAGTTCCTAAAAACAAAACCGTGAGGGCGTGGTCGGGGCCTAAAGCGGATAATATCGTGCTACGGTGAAGTCAAGCCCGGGATGTGACAATTTGGTATCAGAGCCAATCCCTGGCCGAATGTGTGCTGACGAGGACGTCGGGCCCCTAAGGGGGGTGGATTGTAATATCCTACATTGCCCAGGGGAGTGAATCGTGTAAGCCTTATATGTATATTCCCACCTCTTCCTAGCACAAGGCATTTTGGGAGCTCACTGGCTTCGGGCTCCATCGGAACTCCGAAGTTAAGCGAGTTCACGTGAGAGCAATCTCATGATGGATGACCCACTGGGAAGTTCTCATGTGAGTTCCCAAAAACAAAACCGTGAAGGCGTGGTCAGGGCCCAAAACGAACAATATTGTGCTACGGTGGAGTCGAGTCCGTGATGTGGTGGGGGTCCGGGCCAGGATGTGACATATTAGCAATAAATTTGAAAAACAAGAAAAATCAACATTTCCACTGCACTAACAAATGAATTATGATATTTCTTACTTTTTTTGTATTCATATGTTAATTACATGATATAAATTTTTTTTGGGCCCTTCCGAAGTGGGGGCCCTAGGCAGGCGCCTACTTAGGCTACCCTCAGGGCCGGCCCTGGTGACGTTGACCTTAATGTTGTTATTTATTGATACAACCAGTTTTCTACACTTCTATGTGGAGATTATTACTTTTCATCTACCCATACTTTTCAAGTTTTCATGTACAGTAATGCATTCTTACCATGTTTTTATACCACATGTATATACTATCTTATATGACATCTGATGTGGACAGTTACATTATTTAAATTAATCAAAATTTAATTTAAATTTAAAACTATTTAGTAAACCAATAATTTAAAAAAAAAAACTGGAATAAAATGGTGATTATGGCATACGAGAAGTTTTCTCCTTCCTTCCCATTTAATCCTGCTTCTTCTCCCGTTTCTTCTTTCACGCCCTATTTTTTCACTCCAGTTTTTTTCAAGTCAGTCAAATCCACCACAATCTAAATTCTAAATTAAATCTCATACGACAAGGTTCAAGGGTTACCCTATTTAGATTATTAGTACGCATCTATCATTTTTTTCAATGAATTTAATTGTTTTTAGTCTGTTTATTTCTTCTTCTTTCTCTCAATTCCCATTGTGTAGCAAGATAAATTCTTCTTCAGGTCTTGATCAGAGTTGACTTTAGTGGTGTTGTGACGAGGGATGAAGGTTTCCTGACGACACATACTTGAGAGCATCTTCAAAAGAGATACCAAAATCTACATATCAGCTATAACAGTAAAAAAAAAAACCACACTAATATTCTCCAATCGAAGTGTCAAATCCTATGTGGTGATGACATGAATTGGCAGCAAAAGAGGTTGCTGTCAAATTTGACCGCAGCTTCAAATGTTTTTTTATTAATTATTAAATGTATTTTATTAAATTTTAATTAGTTTAATCATTTATTATAATTAATGTTGAGTTGACCGATGCAATTTTCCTACTTTTTTCTTTTTTTCAATCAAGGAAGGTGAACAAATTACTGATTAAACTTTAAATGTTATTTATTAAATTTTAATTAGTTTAATAATTTATTTTATAAAATAATAAAATAATAATTTAATTTGACATATCGGTTGGAGAACAAAACTTTAAAAGATGTCAAAGTGCCACATAAGCTGTCAAAATTTAAATTTTATGTTCAAAATTTGAATATCTCCTTTGGAGATGGTCTGAGATTCCTTTAATTTGATTATAGGTAGGAACAAGATAAGAGTCATTAATGACTCAGAGTGTTAAATCTTCAACCCCCAGCGTCATTTTTCTACGAACAAAGGTTTAGGTAAATAGTCCAATGGAGATTGAGAGAAAGAAGAGGAATAAACAGACTGAAAAAATATAAATTCATTGAAAAATAATGGTAAATGCTTACCAATAATCCAAATAGGGGAGCGTCGATGAACCTTTGGCATATGAGAATTAGTTGAGATTGTGGTAGTCCACACTAACATGAAAAAAACTGGAGTGAAAAAAATATGGCGTGAAAGAATTGGCTAGAAGAAGAAACAAGAGAAAAAGCAGGATTGAATGGGGAAGGAAGGAGAAGACTCCTTGTATGCCACAATCACTATTTAATTCTAGTTTTTTTTTTAATTATTGATTTATTAAATGGTTTTTAATTTAAATTAAATTCTGATTAATTTAAATGATGTAGCTGTCCACATAAGGTAGTATATAAATGTGGTATAAAAACATGGTAAGAATAATATTACTGTTTTGTTTTTGAATTGCAACATGGGTTTTGGAAATGTAATCAACGGAATAGTAATAATTGATATAAGGTGAAAGTTTCAATTTTTCTGTATATATGTGAAGCCTATGAAACAAATGTGAAATGTGCAATGTGGGTTAGGCTAGTTGGTCGTGACAGTGTGTACCCGAGTTTGAATATCTCTCATGTAGTTTAAAATATTGCATTAATTATAAAAAAAAAAAAATGGAGAAACAAATGCAGTCCATATGTCGTTTTCGTGGTTAATAAGGTCAAAGAGTGTTAGATCTTAGCTGTGACACTGACAATGAATGATGGGGGAGTGGAATGTATTCATTTGATACATGTGCGTCTGTTCTTGTTCTTTGATTTTGTATACTAAGTTATCTCTTGGTTGTATCTTGATGAATACTATGTACTGCTGCCAATGTTTGCTATTTAAACACCTTTTACGATGTTTCTGAGGCTTGTTCTGCAGTAAACTAGTTTGTTTTATGTAGGAATTTGCAATTTTTAAATGTTAATTTTTATTTTGTTTGGGATTTAATTGTGTGAAGTTGTTGTTACAGCTCATAGTATTAAGTGTTCTTCGTTATATACCTAGTGGCGAATTATCGGTATCTAATTCATTGATTTTGTAAGTTTTCATTGTATTTGTGCCAGAGTGGTATAACCTGAAACTTGAGATTTAGAAGTCTATACTGTCAGAGTCTATATATATCTTACATTCTTACCTTGTTTGGGTCATCCCATTCCTATCTTTCTTCCTTCTTCCCTTCCTCTCTTGTTGTTCTCCTCTGTTAGTAGTCTCTCCTTTCTCTCTCTCTCTCTCTCTCTCTCTCTCTCTCTCTCTCTCTCAAGGTGAACAAATAGTTTTGGGGGTGTCTGTGTTCTTGTTCTCGGTATTTTAAAATGTGTTTTGCATCTAAAACATCTTTTTTATACAACCTACTTGGAATCTAGGATGGTGTTATGAAAGATCAACTTGAATTATGTCCATGTTTCAATCATGCCTCAGTTCTGTTGTCTCTTTTGCTTGACTAATGAGTTTTAAATCTCTCTAGCTCATGCCTAATCACGTAGAGAGAGAAACACTAGTATTATTGTCTTTGATGACTTTGAAGTTAGTGGGTTCTTGATATGGATTATTGGTCTTGAACTTGTGATCTATGTAGTTTCTTGTATACTTCTGCTACTTGTTTAATTAGGTATTGTGAAGTATAAAAAACTCAAAAGCCTTGAATAATCAGCTAGAAAGAATTTTCTGTAAAGTGGGATTGGATATCTTTAATTTATATTGGGACTTGGATTGTCTACCCTCTCATTTCGGTGCCCTCCTCGTGCCCTTCTGTTTGTGTGGTCACGATTAAGCCACGTCAACGTTTTATATACTATTTCTTTTTGTTTTATTATTTTTATAAAAAAACAATATAAAATGTTGACGTGGCTTAACCGTGACCACACAAAACAGGAGGGCACGGAAAGGGCACCGAAATGGGAGGGCAGACAATCCAAGTCCTTTATATTGATTGACTTCCTCTCGTTTTACTTTTTTATAATGTTGCTTGATTCTTCTGAAAGTAAATTTGTTTGAGGAAATCGTTACAACAACTTTATATTAATTTATATCTATCCGAATCTTAGATTAATTACGCAGGAAGCTTGATACTTTTTTTTTTCTTCTTTATACCCGCTATTTGATTGAACAGTATTCTTGTGTTGAAATTTTATTAACTTCGACCAGGCAACTATATTACCAATATCTAGTAATTTTTCATGATTTTGTTCTTCTTATACGAAGATTTCTAACGCTGTTGAAAATCTGAAATCATGATTATTACTGTATAATCCTTTTTCCTTTCCTATAAATTGTTTGTTTCCAGCAAATTCCTGACTTGCGTATATCTTTCTTGGAGGTACAGTAGTGAAGAGAACATGGGTAATTTATTCTGTTGTGTACAAGTTGATCAATCCACAGTAGCTATAAGGGAGAGATTTGGAAAGTTTGTGGAAGTTCTTGAGCCAGGATGTCATTACCTGCCTTGGTTTCTTGGGCATCAGCTTGCTGGCCATCTCTCTCTTCGTTTGCAGCAATTGGACGTGCGCTGTGAGACCAAGACAAAGGTGTGTCAACTTTCATTAGTGGAGATGACTTAATCCGTAGCATTTGTGCTCATTGCATTTCTTCTAGTTGAATATTGGACACTTTCATTCTCCAAAGTTTTTTCGGACAAGAAACTGAATTTGCTGTCTCATTGCATGTTTTTTTATTTCAAGTTCTTTATATGTGAAACTTGAAATATTTTGTAATATACTTTTCAGGACAACGTATTTGTTAACGTCGTTGCATCTATTCAATATCGTGCTCTAGCAAACAAAGCAGATGATGCTTTCTACAAACTCAGCAACACAAGGTCTCAAATCCAGGCCTATGTCTTTGATGGTATAAACTAAATATCCCTCTTAATAAATCAGATATATGCAACTTTTGGATACACGTATATTAGTTTTTTTAATCAGAAGTATTTATAGCTAATTGAATTTGCCTTTTCCATTTCCGCAGTGATTAGAGCTAGTGTTCCAAAGCTGAATCTGGATGCTGCTTTTGAGCAAAAGAATGAAATTGCAAAAGCGGTGGAAAATGAGCTCGAAAAAGTAATGTGGCAAAGCAAAAGTCATAGAATACTGTGGTCTCTAAATACAACTTGATTTTAACCAAGTTGCTTTTCGTGCTGCAGGCTATGTCTGCTTATGGTTATGAGATTGTACAAACGCTCATTGTTGACATAGAACCAGATGAGCATGTGAAACGGGCAATGAATGAAATCAATGCTGGTATGAGTCTTATTCTCGATGATTATGCAGTTCCTTTAACGTATTTTATTGTTCTACATATGTGATATGTTCGGTTTCAATTGTTTTACTGTATTTTCTCTATTTTTTAGCTGCAAGAATGAGGGTGGCAGCTAATGAAAAGGCAGAGGCTGAGAAGATTTTGCAAATTAAACGAGCTGAGGGTGAGGCTGAGTCAAAGTATCTCTCTGGGCTGGGTATAGCTCGCCAGCGTCAAGCAATTGTAGATGGTTTGAGAGATAGTGTGCTGGGGTTTTCCGTCAATGTTCCAGGGACAACCTCAAAGGATGTCATGGACATGGTCCTTGTCACACAGTATTTTGACACCATGAAGGAAATTGGCGCTGCCTCTAAATCCTCTGCCGTGTTTATTCCCCATGGACCTGGTGCTGTACGCGATGTTGCTTCTCAGATTCGTGATGGACTTCTTCAGGGTTCTCACCAGTAGTAGGGTTCTTCTACAAGCTTTTTGTTGCTCATCTGCAGGAACTTCTTTTGGGTCATTGCGGCGTGCTTTATTTGTTTTTAGTTTTCTTTTTGTGGTTTAATTGTTTAATATTATATGTGAGCATTTACACTTTCTGGTGAGCGTATAATGATCTTATACAATAAGAGTATTCTTCGTGTATTAACTTGAATCATGTACAGTTTCGCCTTTTACAGACGACTCTAAAAGCGTTTTTATTTGTTTAGTGCATGAATTTCTTCATAGAAACATATCGCAATTTTACTCTTTTTCGCAATCTGATCATTTGACTTTGCTTACAAATTAGATTATTTCACAGCCTAACAGAAAGAGAGAGTCCAAATCTTGGACTTCTCTGTACGCCCATAAAATCCACTTCTCCGGACATAGACAGGAACAATTTCTGCCAAAACCCTTGCCGTATAAGAACGCCAACATTCCCGTGTGTGCTAACTCGAGCCTTCGCCAGTGTAGATGGAAAAAACGCGTGCTGGGCACCAACAGCAAGGGCACTATCGTTGGTTGAAAACCGGTGCTTCAACTCTGCTCCAAGGGCTGTGTTGCTCAGGGGGTTGACCATGGTGAAGCATGAAGCTTTTACAGTGTCAAGCTTGTCCCTGCATATTCAAAAAGTTACATATGCTGCTTTTGTGTGTGCATGTGTGTTTGTGTGTGCGCGTGTGTGTATATGTGTGTGTGTGTATATATAATTTGTAAACATTCTCTCTTCTCCAAGCTCTCACAGGATTGCTCACAAGGATAAGGAAGCAGAAACAAAGTCACTGTTCAAGCTGAAACCGGCACTGAATTTTGCTAATGCTCCCGCAGATATGTCGAAGGCAAGGTCGGTTCCAATGGAGCACACAGAACTGCCTCCTATCACTGCAGAAAAGAGTGCAACCGGTTCACACATTTTCAGCGGATTTCTTTTCAACCCGATTCCTCCAGCAATCTCGGCAACACCATTTTCGTATTGCAGTTCCATCTGTCACAACATTAAAGACTATTGATCTAGATTCTAGAGCAACATCAAGGTGAAAAATAGTTCAAATGGAAAAGCACGGAGAATCGCAGGATGACTACTTTAGAGTGCTAATAACAATCCTGACAGAAAATGATGGGAAATTTTTACCTGGCCATAATCCGGCACGTTAAAACTGAAAAGGGTGCTGAGTCCAGGAGCAATCAAATTAACTGCACATCAAACCGTCGCGAAAAAATGAGTTTCAACGCAGTTTCATACTTTGACAGAAGAAGCAAATCACAGAGATCAGTCAGACTAACCTTTGCACGAGATGTCACTGATCCAGTTGAAGTCTTTGGATTCAAACCGAATTGGCAGTTCATGAACATAGTCCTTGTAGAGAAGATCTGATAAAAAATACAAGAAAATGTTTAGGATTGATAGAAAGGGAAAGAGGAGGCAAAGAGAAGAAGGAAGAACTGGGTGTGCAGAGTAAATTGAACCTCTGGCATCCTTGCCAATGTTGTAGCGCACACCCGAAGTGTTACTCATTGCTTGTTACTGAACTGGGTGTGCAGAGTAAAATTATATAATGTGGGGTGCTTTGCATGGGGATTTAGTGAGGAAGTTTCCTTGCTGGTGAGAAAGTAATACATAAAAGTACTATGTTGTGACAAGAGTGGAAATTCTCTGTGGTGGATCGTTTGCTATGAAAGGTCGTTATCCAAATGATGACGCTTCAAAGATGTTGACTTCAAAACGGAAAGGAAGAGCGGGGAAATAGTTGAAACTCAGGTCATTACAAATTAGATAATAAGACTTCGTGTGTACGAGGACCACTTCAATTATAAACTTTGATAATACCTATATAGAACCGCTCTTCTAAGGTTCTCATTTTGATGACCTATGAGGACCTTTTTCATACAAGTCATCAGATTAATTTTATGGTAGATTAAGCTATTAATTTCAATAATCTTTGTTACACTGAAAGAGAAGAATTTTGCAAGGTGATTAAATTAAAAAAAAAATCTCAAAATTTCATATGAAAAAGGGTTCACACGTTCAAGAAGAATGGGATCCCAATTCTCGAAACCACACAATCTCAATTTGTTTCGTGCTTTGTAACTAATTGGGTTTGAATATTATTATAAAAGATTGGAAGAAATTAGATGTGTAAAGTTATTAGGATTTTATGCAATTGAGTTTGCAGGGTTTAGATATTCGATGAGGAGACTGTTTTGCAAATGAAAGAAATTCGACATGACATGAAACATTCTTTTCTTTTCTTATTTATTTTTTTACTTATTTTTTGTTTCTGTGTAACAAAAATTATTTAAGCTAGTAGCTTAATAGTATTAATATGATGGCTTATCTAAAAAAATACTTCGCATATCCTCAAAATGAGTACTTTAGAAGAGCAGCTCTCTAAACCAGCTTGAGAAATGCAGTGAAATTTAGCTAACCCACCGGACCATTTGGGTTAAATCACATTAGCTCGTGACCAGTTTGGTTCAGGTTCGCGCGCATCCAACAATTGACATTTAAGTGGAATCATTATGTAGTATTCTGTAATAAACAAATAAATAAATTTGTTTAATGACGCTATGAAGTGTCAATAACAATTTTTTATATCATAACTAAATCAAGTTCCCTATATTAAAACTGAATAAGTGACAACTTTAAAAATAGTGCAAATTGTTAAATATAAATTTCTAGTTACATGGAAGTTTACAAAAACAAAAATTAGGTGTACAATGTTTCACATATATAAATGGTGGTACTATCCGCACACCCTTTATAATATTTCGCACACATCCCTATTAATATATGTTTTATTGATTATTTTTAATTCTTTATGTTCGGCGATCAGAAATTAAGAAGGATGTGTAGAATATAAAAAAAATTGTAGCTACCACTGCTCTATATAAAACACTAAACTTCCTTACAAATTTGAAGCATCTCCAAGTCTTATTGCAAAAAAGTCTCAATAGAACGGGCACTAGGCAATTTCCTTGTTTCTTTGCCACCAATGCCAGCTAGCTAGCTAGGTTTTACCTTTGAGACTTCGTTTTCTTCTCCTCCTTTTCAGGATCACCATCTCTATCCTCCTCCTAACCTTCACGTTCCTTGGTCTTCTTGTCTTCATTCTTTTTCTATTATGTTTCATCTTCTCCATCCTCGTGTTTTTCCGTCTTCTCATTCTCATCCTTCTCACCGTTGCCTTTTTCCTTTTTAGAGCTGTCATGTTTTTCTAACAAAGTCGTCTTTCCCATATTAAACACAACAAATGTTGCAAACCGGGAGCTTCCTCCGATCAAAATCGAAAATGTGGTGAATTTTGAAGATGATTGAGAGGAGGAAGAGCAAGCCTAAGAATCTATCCTCCAACTCTCGCCCTCTCATGCAGTTTATTAATTTCAACGCAACAAAATCGTCCTCCTAATTATCACTGGCTAGCAAACAATCATTTTAACGAGAAATATTACTGCCACTCAAATACTTACATGAAAATAAAAATAGACCAATAATTTTAATACTCATCTTTCAAATTATACACGAGCATCTTCACGTGTAGATCAAATTATACAGGATCACCATCTCTATCCTCCTCCTAACCTTCACGTTCCTTGGTCTTCTTGTCTTCATTCTTTTTCTATTATGTTTCATCTTCTCCATCCTCGTGTTTTTCCGTCTTCTCATTCTCATCCTTCTCACCGTTGCCTTTTTCCTTTTTAGAGCTGTCATGTTTTTCTAACAAAGTCGTCTTTCCCATATTAAACACAACAAATGTTGCAAACCGGGAGCTTCCTCCGATCAAAATCGAAAATGTGGTGAATTTTGAAGATGATTGAGAGGAGGAAGAGCAAGCCTAAGAATCTATCCTCCAACTCTCGCCCTCTCATGCAGTTTATTAATTTCAACGCAACAAAATCGTCCTCCTAATTATCACTGGCTAGCAAACAATCATTTTAACGAGAAATATTACTGCCACTCAAATACTTACATGAAAATAAAAATAGACCAATAATTTTAATACTCATCTTTCAAATTATACACGAGCATCTTCACGTGTAGATCAAATTTTAAGATATTAATTTTAAAATAGACCACTCTTTTCAACTTAGCACAGTTGTTTGGCTTTGTAATTTGTCACACCCTCAATAATGTGGCACCTAAAAAAATGCTCTTATATATATAGTTCGCTTCCTCCCTTCCACTACATTAACCGGTCGGACAAGCTCGACAACCGCCGGAAGAAGTTCAGGCTCGCCGGCTGCATAGGCTCCCGGAACATGGGGTGGCGGAAGTAGTAAAATCCCAAGGCCACGGCAACCATTTCTGGTGGCACTGCAGATAAAACCACAATGATTGCCAGGCACACTCCAATGAACAACTGTGTGGCCTTGGGTCCCTCCAACTCACCAATGCTTGGGCCCTTTCTCCTTGGGTTGCAAAATCACCCAAACGGTCTGGACCCGGGCTGCCAGCATCCGGGTCGTATCGGACCCTAGCTTGGTACACTGTCGAATCCCTCATCAAGCTCATCCGGGTCGACCGTATTCGCTTGTGAAAGCCGGATATCCGTTGCAGGCCTTGTTAGTAGATTTGGTTGAGGAGCAGAGGCAAATGCACACTAGGATTTGGGTGGTCTCACGACTATTCGTAGTTCAGAAGATACAAATGTAAATGTCTTTTAAGGACTCTACGAATGTTTTATACAAATTTTTCTGTATCTATCAAGTGATTGATGTAATACATGCTAGTATCTTGACATGTTGCGTTGAAAACACTCGACATTTCTATAAATATCACTCATCAAGTATTTGACGAAATGCCTTAATAAATAAACAGAAATTTTTTTTGCCCTCTTTGCACTCTGTTTTTATCTAAAAATTTTAGACCTTTAACCCTGAGACCACTCAAAATTCAAATCTTGAATGTGCCATTGTTAAGAGGTAAATGGTAATGGAGAGAAGCGAATGTTTTTTGGTAGGTTTGGGGTGGGGGAGAGATTAGATTCCATTCTCACTTTACATCCCCCTCTTTATTTTCTCTGTTTTTCCCCCTATTTTTATAATGTATTTTTTTTTATGCATGCTTTTGTTTAAGACGAGCCTTGCATACCAATTAAAAATACATTCAGTCCAAACGAATTTGGGATCACCACAATGGAAAAAAGGAAAACATAAAACCGATGTTTCTAGCATAACAATAAACGACAATGATATAAATTAATAACACTACGTAATAGTGTAACGAATTCAATATTAACAGTGTATCGAATTGAGCATATCAACCTGAGTGGGTGTGTGGTCTCATGGTCATTGGTGGATATATGCCATGCATGGTAGTAGTAGTGTGGATAAGGCACATGATTCCAATTCCAAAGCCAAAGTATCCTTTTAGTGGAAAAGCAGGAACATTTTGAAAAGTGTTTACTTCCAAATAAAATTTCAGAAACCATGCTTCGTTATTCAAAGAAGAGCAGCAAGTGCCAGGGCCGATCCTGAGTTTTTGGGTGCCCAGTGCAAAAGCTCAAAATGTGCCCTTTTTAATACGGAAACATATGTTAAAAAAAAAAAATTTAACAAGGGCTAGAACCCAGTCGAAGCTAGGGGGTTAGGCCCTCACGCCCAAATTATATTACTTGAGAAAATATACAACGGGGGGACATAGTACCTAAACCCCGACAATCAAAAATACAATCATATACAACCAATATAATCATCATCAACATTTAAATCCACATCACCACCATTTTCATGGTCTTGAGACTCATCACCAACATTTTCTTCTAAATCACTACCATTTTCATGATCATGAGACTCCCCAACAACATTTTGTGACTCTTCACCAACATCATTTTCTCTCAAATTTTTAACTGACTCATTATTTGTAGAGAAAAATTTATTAACAGATCCTCTTAAACTTTCGGCAATTTCGTTATCCTTTACCTTTTTTTTTCCTTTCATATTACCAGAGAGTTGTTTCCTAAAAGACATGGCTTCGATAATTTGTTTGCAAAAATTACCTACACATGATATAACAAAAATATTCTATCAAAATTATCATTCCAACACATATTATATATTATAAAAACATTAACACAAAGTTTAACATATTATAAAAATTGAACCTAAAAATTGGGTTTGAAATGAAATGAAATAATTAAATTAGTCAAGAATTCAATTCATCAACAACAATTCTATACATCAATTATCATATAATTCTATATCACTTGCAAAATTTTATATTAGATTATGAATTGATAATTCAAATTTTAAAAATTAATTTACCTCAAAACTCAAAGGGGTTGGTGGTGAGTGAATGCTCTTGCACTTGAGCAGCCAATGCCCAATGTTCTGTGATTGCTGTCTGCCTGCGTGCAACAGCTTGCTGTTGATCTTTTGGCTGTAATGGGGACCGAGTGGGAAAGGGTTGTAAAATGGGTTGTAAAACGGGAAAGGGTTGTAATTGGCTGTAATTGGCTGTAATTGGGAAAGGGTTGTAAAATGGGAACCAAGTGGTCCCTCTAATAGTCTAATGTCTGATTTTTTTTTTTTTGG